GTTATTTTATTTAATCTTAAAAACAATGTAATTAAATACAATGTTTATTTTATCAATTTATTTATCACAACATTTGACATATATCGCTACATATGATTTGTATATCACAATATTTGAGTCAGATGTTGATAGAGATAATTATATGTAACAATATTTGTTGCATATGTTGCTACAGATGATTTTATGTAGCAATATTTGAGTCATATGTTACTACAGCTGATGCGTATATCACAACATTCGTGCATCATGACATGTGGCATATGTTGCTACAGACGAATCAGCTGTACCAACATTTGAGTCATATGTTGGTATAGGTGGTTATATGTAGCAACATTTGAGTCATATGTTGCTACAGTTGATTCGTCTGTAGCAACATTCATCCATCACGACATTTGGCATATGTTGCTACAGATGAATCAGTTGTAGCAACATTTGAGTCATACGTTGGTATAGGTGATTATATGTAGCAACATTTGAGTCAGATGTTGCTACAGATGATTATATGTAGCAACATCTGAGTCATATGTTGCTACAACTGAAGCGTATATCACAACATTCGTCCTCACGAGTACATAATAATTTGTTGTTTGATCAGAAGTGCAAAACTACGTCTATTTAATTCCATAACTATGATAATTGTATTGGTTGTACACAACTACATAATAATTTTGTATCCTCTACAAAATTCTTTTTTGTAATGCACAAAAATACAAGAAAAAAAAACAAAGAACACCAACATTAACTTCCAGATGCTACAACATTTGGTCTTTTTCTTCTCCTTCATCCCCCATTTGGTACTTATTTTGATATGACTTTCATCAACAGTGTCCAACTCCTTAATTTTGTTTGCCAATCGGAGAATAACAAACTTGGATCTTATATCAACAACTTCACGATCCCTCCATGTAAACAAGTTGCATGAATTCTCCTAAAATACCACAAAGAAATAAATTTATTTAAAAAAATAAAGAGATCTGAAGTCTCCAAAATATTTTAGAAATAAACACACATACACGATATCGTGGACAAGATCAAAATCTGCAACCTGGATTGTGACCATGAAGTTTGCATTGAAAGTAGATCTCCATGTTTGCAATACATTTTAAGATTCAATATAGTATCATTTTCATCATCGCAAATTCGACTTAGTATAGAATTTGACAATCCATGGGAGTACCGAAATTTGGTTTAACCAAAGGTGAACCAAATATAGAACAGTATGACTGACAGAAAATCAAATTTGATTTGAAAAAAACACGCCAAAACTGAAGCGGCAAAGAAGAAAAATTTGAAAACCCTATTCTTGAAATGAAAATGAAAACATATTCTAGAATGGGTTGGGCTTATTTTAATTTTTTTTAAAAATAGAATGGGGTTTGCCTATCATTGGGCCACTTCTGAAAAAGAGTCATTTGTTATAATCATATGTTGCAACAGTTTCTTAAATTTTGCCAATTTAACAACAGAAACAGAATATGTTGCTACAGACGAAAAATCAAGGAGACACTAATAGACTATTGAATCGATTTAGGAAATGAAAAAGGGATATTTGAACCAAATTTTAGTGATTTAGAGCATAAATAATCAATCATAATAAGGTATAACATTTGGAACAACGATTTAGAAGGGTGTTACATAATTATCATATGGATTTACTAGGACAATGTATGATGAACTAGTGAGATGATTGTCTTTATAAATATAATTGCTATAATCCATTGGAGAGTGTTATTAACGATCATAATTTGTTACTTAGACATGTTGTAGGACTATATATTGGTGTTACAAATCAAATTACGTGACAATTTAATTGAATTAAGCCCCCCAAAGAGTCATTTGTTATCATTATATGTTGCAACAGTTTCTTATATGTTGCGAATTTAACAACAGAAACTGCATATGTTGCTACAGATTAAAAATAAAGGAGACACTAATAGACGATTCAATCAATTTAGGAAAAGAGAAATGGAAATTTAAACAAACTTTTGTTATTTAGAACATAAATAATCAAAAATAATAAGGTATAACATTTGGAACAACGATTTAGAAGGGTGTTATATAACTATCATATGGATTTACTAGCACAATGTATGATGAATTAGTGAGATGATTGTCTTTATAAATATAATTGTTATAATCCAATGGAGAGTGTTCTAAACGAACATAAATTTGTTACTTAGACATGTTGTAGGACTATATATTGGTGTTACACATCGAATTACATGACAATTAAATTAAATTAAGCCCCAAAAGATTTATTATAATTATATGTTGCAACAGTTTCTTATATGTTGCGAATTTAACTACAGAAACTGCATATGTTGCTACAAATGAAAATTCAAGGAGACATTAATAGACAATTTGATCGATTTAGGAAAGAAAAATGGAAATTTGAACCAAATTTTAGTGATTTAGAACATAAATAATCAATAATAATAAGGTATAACATTTGAAACAATGATTTAGAACGGTGTTATATAACTATTATATGGATTTACTAGGACAATGTATGATGAACTAGAGAGATAATTGTCTTTATAAATCTAATTGCTATAATCCAATGGAGAGTGTTGTTAACGACCATAATTTGTTACTTAGACATGTTGTAGGACTATATATTGGTGTTACATATCGAATTACATGATAATTTAATTGAATGAAGCCCCAAAAGAGTTATTTGTTATAATTATATGTTGCAACAGTTTCTTATATGTTGCGAATTTAACTACAGAAACTGCATATGTTGGAGAGACTAATAGAAGCTTTTATCAATTTAGGAAAGGAAAAATGGAAATCTGTAGCAACATTTATTGCATATGTCGCCACATCTAATGTATCTAAAAGCAAGTCCCACGTAATCATTATTTAAAAGTATATATTGCTACAGATGATTATATGTAGCAACATTTGAGTCATTTGTTGCTACAAATAATTATATGTAGCAACATTCTTCTTTCACAATATGTGGCATATGTTGCTACATCTGATTCGTCTGTAGCAACTTTTATTGCGTACGTTGCCATATCTAATATATCTAAAAACACAGTCATAATCATTATTTAAAAGTATATGTTGCTACAGATGATTGTATGTAGCAACATTTGATTCATATATTGCTGTAGATAATTATATGTAGCAACATTCGTCCGTCACAACCTGTGGCATATGTTGCTACAGTTGATATATTTGTAGCAACATTCATTGCATATGTTGTCATATCTAATATATCTAAAATCATAGTCGTAATCATTATTTACAAGTATATGTTGCTGGAGGTGATTATATGTAGCAATATTTGAGTCATATGTTGCTACAGATGATTATATGTAGCAACATTTGTCCGTCACAGAATGTGGAATATCTTGCTACAGCTGATTTATCTGTAGCAACATATATTGCATATGTTGCCACATCAAATATATCTAAAACCACAGTCATAATCATTATTTAATAGTATATGTTGCTACAGATGATTATATGTAGCAATATTTGAGTCATATGTTGCTACAGATGATTATATGTAGCAACATTCGTCCGTCACAACATGTGGCATATGTTGCTACCGCTGATATATCTGTAGCAACATTTATTGCATTTTTTGCCACGTCTAATACATATAAAAGCATCGTCGTAATCATTATTTAAAAGTATATGTTGCTACAGATGATTATATGTAGCAACATTTGAGTCATATGATGCTACAGATGATTATATGGAGCATCATTCGTCCGTCACAACATGTGGCATATGTTTCTACAACTGATTCGTCTGTAGCAACATTTATTGCATATGTTGCCACATCTAATATATCTAGAAGCACAATCCCACGTAATCATTAGTTAAAAGTAGATGTTGCTACACATCATTTTATGAAGCAACATTTGTGTCAAATGTTGGTACAACTGATGCATATATCACAACATTTGTCCGTCACAATATTTGAGTCATATGTTGGAACATATGATTATATGTTGCAACATTTGAGTCATATGTTGCAACATATAAGCATCAATGGCAACATATACTATTGAATAATGATTACTTTATAGTGTGCTTTTAGATATATTATATGTTCCAACATATGAGTCATATGTTGCTAAAGGCGAATCACAACATGTGGCATATGTTGCTGCAGATGATTCGCCTGCAACAATATTTGTTGCATATGTTGCCACATCTAGTATATCCTGTAGCAACATTTTACATGTGTTGACACAAACAAAGAAGAGCAACAACTCACGGGTAGGGGCATTTCTAAATAAGATTATATAATAGAGATCATCCTCAAATAAGAAAGAACATTCATTAAAATTCAACAACACAATGCTTAACACTTCTTATGAGGCATTTCGATTTGGGCATGTAGTTTTTTTGTGGCCAAAGTTTCTACATACTGAATACTTATTTTTTCTTGTTTGAAATGATTCACCAACTCCACTCCGTCTCTTATATGTCCTTCTCCCGGGTTTACTTGGATCAACATATGGAGGAGGTATTTCTCTTTGTGTGACATCCAAAGGGACAATCCAAGAATCTTCAGTTGGCACCGGGTGAATTTCCTGACAATATGCCATTATGTATTTTTCCACTGAATAATATGGAGAGGAGTACAAGTAAATCTGATTTCCAATATCATCACCATGTTTGGATCGAATTGCTGCCATTGCATGTGGACATGGTATTTTGTTCAAATTAAAAAATTCTACAAGTACAAGTTCTTCTCTGTAGATCCATGGTAGCAACATCTCCATGACCAGTGACACTGAACTTGAAGTTAGCGATTTGATGGGCCAACAACTTGTTGCCCGCGTTGACATACTCTGATATGTGTTTTTCAATTGAAGGAACAAATCTGTTTGCGGAGTGCACAAGATTCATACGCCTCTGGTGAAATAACAATGCATATATCCTGTTTATTTCATCAAATAGAGCGACAATGGGAAATTCTCTTTCAATATCTAACATAGCACCAATTCCGCGATGTTTGACGTCATAAACACAACTTATTACATGTTTTCGAGCAAACCCCTCCTCCGGACAACTATGACCAAAAGAATTACGACATCTTCAATATCGCGCCAAATGTTAATGCTACAACTAGCAACTCGATTTATCGATTGAAGTTCAATACAACAGTGGACATCATATTGCAAAATGCCAACACAATGAACCTAAACAACAGTGAGACACATCCTTGGCATTTACATGGACATGACTTTTGGGTCATGGGCTATGGTAATGGCAAGTTTAACCAATCTATTGATCCAAAGAATTACATCTTTGTTAACCCAATAATGAAAAACACAATCCCAGTCCATCCTTATGGATGGACCGCATTGCGATTTCGGGCCGATAATCCAGGAGTTTGGGCCTTCCATTGCCATATTGAGTCACATTTCTTCATGGGAATGGGAGTTGTACTTGAAGAAGGAATTGAGAAAGTTGGCAAATTGCCTACTTCTATTATGGGCTGTGGAGAAAGTAAAAGGTTCCACAGGCCTTAAATTCTATAACATTATTGTCCAAAACTTTGTACTTTGGTTTAATATTATTTTGATTCTTTTGATAGTTGCCAAAAATCAAAGGCCAGTAAAAAATGTGTTCCTTTTTGTTGTAAAACCTCTACACTGTAAAAAAAAACAAAAAACAAATACAATTCACTCTTTTGCTGCTACTCATGTGTCATAATAGTTTATCCTTCTTCGTCTTATCATAATTTAGTTTTCTAGATTTACAATTCTTTCCGTGAGATCCTTTCCCTTAAAGAGATTCATTTCAAAAAAATAGAAACAGTTCACATCATAAAATATAATTTTATATTGGTGAAATAACTTTTAGCAGTAATAAGTAGGCATATTAACAAAAGAGTGCTAAAACTGTTACAATATTACTTAATTGCTATTGGTCTAATGTCATCGGTATAGCCTTTTGGGACATTTACAAAAGAGTGTTAATTACCTCTAAAAATATATTTAGCGATATTTAAACTACGGAAAATGGCCTAAAAATATCGTTGAAGTAGTAGAAATGGTACAAAATACCCTTCTCATCCACCTATTGACTCCAGAATACCCTTGTCGTCCACCTTTGAGTTCAAAATTAATCACTTATTTAATGATTTTAAATTTTAACTATTTAAATATACTTTTAATACAGGACGCTCAATTATTTGTTATAATTTAACTTATTAATATAATTTATTAACCAATCTACTACCAACCCATTAATAAGTAAACCACGCCCAATTAATAAGCCCGCCCCATTACTAATGCACAACATGAAAGCTACTACCAATGAGTGTTTCTAAAAAATTGAGGTGAAAGTATCTTTAGAAGTACATTATCATACACTATACAATCAAATTCACGTCGAGAAATAATAATCAATAACGGAAGATTATAGCAACAATCAATTTTATTATTTCAAATGCGAGTTTTACAATTTCTATGATTTTCTTAATTCGCCTTTTCAAATATAAATTCAAGGGCTTTAAAACTTGTTTTTGAATCTCTAATGAACCTGAACTTGAACTTTATCTTGATCTTGACTTTTATTTGAATTCAAGGGCTTCAAGCTTGTTCCTGAATTCGATGGCCTTGATCTTGATCGTTCTTGAACTTGAATGCTCGAATTCTTAAACTTGTAGCTTTGTAGAGAATTTAATGACATTTGTACCATGAATTTTCTCTAGCTTCTTGTTTAGAATTCTTGGTTCTCTTTTACTAAATTATGAGACCCCTATTTATATTTTTAGAATAAAAGAGTTGAGACTAGAACCTTCGGCCAATCAGATTTAAGTGAAATATCATATGGGCTTTATGGGGCGGGCTTTAATTAAATTCATATTTATCTGAATTTAAATAATTAAATCAATAATATTAGTCCACAATATTTATTTGGACTAATATATTCATTAATTTAATATAATCCGAACAACTTTATAAATTTATATTTGATAAATTTTAAGTGACTGCACATACATTCAAGTCCTCAATCAAAAAATATTATAATTCAAGTGTCTAAATAAAAATTGCCGATAAACTTAAAAGTCTGACTATGTTCATCTTAATTATTCATTTGCCTCAATTATGTGATGTTACATAATAGATAACTTTTTTTAAAAAAGAATATATTATAATTTTAATATTTAAAACTAATAATAAATATTTACAAATTATACTAAAAAAAGTGCATGAATTAATTCGAGAGGTGCGACTTCTTTACCTTTAATCATAAATTTTGAATTCAAGCTTGAAACAGAATCCTATTGAAAGTGTCCTTCTAAATAAGCGGCTCAACCTAAGTTTAATTGGGGATTAAATTTGGACTCAAATAATTTTGAATATAATTTTCAGGAATCAGTAATTTCATCGTGTTTTAGTAGTGTTTAGGGCAATTTTGATATTACAAATGGTTTATTAATTGGGAGGGGCTTCATTAGTAATGGATGGGTAGTGGGTTGGTTTATAAATGATATTAATTAATAAATTACATTATATCCAATAATTGAGCGCCAAGTATTTTAAAAAAAATTAAATAGTTTAAATTTGAAACCGTTAAATAAGTGGTCAATTTTGAACGCAAAGGTGGATGACAAAGGTATTTTGGAGCCAATAGGTGGGTGAAAAGAGTATTTTGGAGACAATAGGTGAATGAAGGATAATTTTGTACCATTTTCAATACTTCGAAGATATTTTAGGTCCTTTTCTGTTCAAACTATTACTATTAATTAATCAATCCTCATTCCTCATCCAACACTTGTTGTGAGAATCACATTATACTTAAATTAGACGAATTCAAAATTGGAACATTATAGTTATCGAACTTTATCATAATTTATTGGGCTTAAAATTTATTATACATTTTTATTGATTCGGTGTAAAGTTTTTAACAGGTATATTAGATTTACACGACAACTTATGCTCTACACTATCAATTAACTCTTCCGAGCATAAGTTGTTAAAAAATTATATGCACAGCGGAAACATACCAAAATCTTTACAACTTACATGACTAATAGACTACCAAATTCAGTTATGCTCGAATACACATAATCTTTGCTTATTCACATAAACTTGCAGAAATTTAATTCAATAAATACCTCTTGAAGCGTGAAAAAATATCTTCAAGCAAATTTCCAAATTAGACAGTCCTTCAATAGTGAATCTACAAAATCTACAAGATAGCTATGGTCTTCTAAAGTGATCTCAAGTTCACGTCTGAATTCTCTCAATACTTGGGTGGGCACGTATGAATAGAAAAGTAATCAATCTTTTTCTAGGTTAAAAAGAGAATTTCTCCTCCCTTAGGAAATGCGATTATGAGTTCTAGTTAAATATGAGACAATGTAGAGACTACATAATTAGTTTTGAGGCTTCCTATAATGGAAATAATTCAAAATAATCAATTTGAATTATTCTTACAATAATAAATTACAAATCATTCCACTAGAAATTCGTAATTGCACTTCTCTATTTATATTTTAAAATTCCCCATTAAACACTCATGTAATTATCCATGTTAAGATTTCAGATACTAATCAACAGATTAAATTACTCACGAATTTAACTTAATGATTAATTTTCTTTATAATACTACTTAACTTATTTCATGTGTCAGATTAATAAATCCACTTGCAAGGGTTGACACAATGAAACCTTATAAGTTTCTCAAAAAGGTATATCAATCAATCTCTATAGCGAGACATGAATTCCATCAACTAACTTATTGTTTCACCAATATATATTATTATCATCTAACTTACCAAGCATATTGACCCATCTCAAGAATCTCACCTTTTAATAAATCAAAATGATAATTAATATATACAGATCATAATAGATATATCAGGATTAAGAATATAAGTACATTTAATAGTTTATAGAATACATTTTTGTCAGTCAGTCTAAAACAACTATCTCTACCCGGCCGCATTCAATACATACAAAATGACTCGGACAAGAAGTTGGAACTATAACGTTCACATAATCAGGATAAATTACATATAATCTTGTGCTACACTTGTACACAATGACATGTCCAATTACCATTCTAGATTGAGAACAAAAAACTTTATACTTATAAGAATTGATGATTTAATCCTCTATGTATAAACTAAAATTCAACATACTAAAGTATCTACTATATAAGTAAATAAACACCGTAAACGAATGTATAATCTATTAAAACTGAACAAATATTTATTCTATAATAAATACTATATCTTAACATATGATTAATAATATATATATCCGAACATAGGTATGCTACGCTACAACTTAAGCTTATGTAATTTAGGGTCAAATATTTGGATGGTTGGTTAATATTAGGGTTACCAAATTTATGAAACTAACAAGAATCGAAGGAGGCTACCACAAAAACAAACCAACATGCATTTTTAGAGAAGGATAGAGATGTATAGTTTACGTAGGGATCATCATTATTGGATAGAGCTGTGTTTCAACATATCGCAAATTGAAATAGCTAGGAAGAAGCTTAAAAGTCTAATTAGTTAGTTTTGGAAAGAATTAAAATCTACAAATTTTCTTAAGTTAGGAAACAGTGAGTTTTTGGTCAACTTCAAACGTCCATAACTCCTATCTTAGGATGAGTTAGGTTTAGTTCAAGATATGGTTGGAAATCACTTGGAACCATCTTTCCAACGCCATGGAGTTTGCAACGTTTCGAGTTCGGATAGGTGAGTTATGCTATTTGGAAGTTGGGCTGTTGGATTAAGAAAATGTCCAATCCAGAAATTAAAAGGGTAATTTGGTCTTTTTCTTACCCGATTAATTAAATTTGTTTTTGTTAATATTATTAAGGGTATAAAATGAACTTGCTCAGTTTGACACTTTTGAAGAAAGGTTAGGGTTTTGGAGAAAGAACACAAGAGAAGAAGAAAGGAAAAATGAACCAAGATCGTTGAGTTCGTTGAAAATAAATTGTGGATTTCATCGGGGGTGATCCCTGAAAAGGTATTTGAGTCTTCCATAATGTTGGGTTCATTCACCCACGTGCCATACATGTTTGATTCAGCGTAATTTCATACTAAAAAAATTGGATTTTTTCAATGTTCTTGAATTGCTTTCCTTCTTAAACATAAGTTAAGATTTAGGATTTCTTTGATGATATAGGTATTGTTCTTGAATTAATTGAGTTAGATACTTGTATACATGATATGTGTACATGAATCTAAAGTGAATTTTATAGAAAAGAATCGAATTAAAATGATTAATGGTCAGAAACGAGAGGAAAAATTTGCCAGATTTTTTCCTAAGTAACAGGTGGAGCGACGCGCCCCCATAATGCCAGGAGGGCTGGGGTGGCATGCCAGCAGTGTGCTAGAATGGTGCCTCAGTAAAGTGAGGCTGGCATGGTCCGCCCAGACACACCCAGAACTTTGGTTTTCACCCAATTTTCATTATTCCGTCTGTTTAATATTTTCTTAAGTGTTTTCACACTTCATATTGATTCTAACTACTCTAAATGACTTCTAAGGATAAATCATTAAGTAACATGAATTAAAACTTTGAATCCGTAACTTCAAATCAAGGGAAGTTTTGAGCCAATTCTAGAAATTTCTTAGAGTTGTTTCAAGAAGTCTTTTACAAATGCTTTAAACTTTGTTTTAAGACTTAAGG